ACACTGGTGGCTAGTATGAGTTTAAGCCACCAAGTCCAGGACTTGAACCACAGTCGACTACATGGGAGTCCAGCGACATAGCCATTACTCCATCTCCTGGTCCCTTTTTTAAAAAAAAAAAAAAAAAAAAGAGATTTTTAGTGTTCAGCAAGTGCGTTCACGAGAGAGAAAGACAGGAGTGAGAAATCACCCCCTGGGGGGATGACCATATTGTAATCCCCTCTCCTCCACTTTCCTCTTGGGATTTTAGGCATGCACGCACACACGCACATGTAGCCATTGTGAGTTTCAAGTTTCTGGATTCAGGATTCAAACTGTGATCAGCCATGTAGAAGTCCAGTGATGTAACCATTCTGCCATCTGCTGGTCTCCTTGATAAGGAATTCTTTTTTTTGACACCAAGAAAGCAAGAAGAATATAGTCTCAAAATATTAACAGTTTTTACACTACATAGTTGTGTTTTTCTCATTTTACTACATATAATTAAAACTTCAGAGGCTGGCAGGTGGCATGGTGGTTTAAGGGTGCTGGACTCCCACATGGTCGACTGTGGTTCAATTCCCGGACCTGGTGGTTTGCTTTCTCACTTTCTCTTTCTCTCTCTCTGGTCAAATTAAAATAATTAAATAAATAAAGTTAAATAAACACTAATTCTTTAAAAAAAATTGTCAAAAATAAATAGTTCTTCTCTGAGGTCTGGCATTTGAAGACTACTAGATTAATTAATTGTGAGCATGAAATTAAACAGAAAATCATAAGATGGTATAACAGAAAGTGATTTTATGGTGCTGCACAGGAAGTATCCTGGCATGTGGAAAAGACTCTTCTCTGTCATCAAAAGGCTATTCTATTGCCAAAAGTGGCAAATTACCAATCTTCATCAAGCATTCAGTAGATACAACTGATTTTTCTATATCAGCTTGTATTCTGCAACCTTACTGAGCTCATGTATTAGAGCTAATAATAAGGGGTATGTGTGTGTATTCTTCACAGTTTTCTAAACATGACATGTCATCAGCAAACAGAGCTTTATTTCTTCCTTTCAAATCTGGATGCCTTTATTTCTTTTTCTTGCTTAATCATCTTGGCTAAAACCCTCAGCAGAATGTTCATTAAAAATAACAAGAAGAAACATCCCAGTTTTTTTATTGTTGTTCTTGGAGAGATTTTTGCTATGGGGCGCATGCGTGCACTTGCCATAAAGACAGAGACAGACAGACAGACAGACAGAAAGTGAGAAAACCCCCCCTCCGGGGGGGATAGTCACACTGCAATTCCTTCTCCTCCATTCTCCTCTCGGGATATTGGGCACACACGCACACACACCCAGTGTGAGTTTAAGTCCCCGGGCCCAGGACTTTCAGCTTCATGGGAGTCCAGCAACACAGCCATTACGCCATGTGCTGGTCCCAACATCCTAGTTTTATACCTGTTCTTAGGAGGAAAGATTTCATACTTTTACATTAAACAGATGTTAGCTATTAATTTTTTTTTTTTGGGGGGGGAGGGTTTTGCTATAGGGCGAGTGCACTGGTCTGAAAGACAGAGAGAGACAGAGAGACAGAAAGTGAGAAATCACACCCCGGGGGGGTGGCCATGCCACAATCCCTTCAGCAACATAGTCATTACACTAACTGCTGGTTCCATTAGCTATTTATTTTTCATAGGTGATGGATTTTTCATAAAAAGGAGGTATGGGGAAGTAAGACTTTAATGGTGGTCTTGTAAGAGTAGGCATCTGACAGGGCAGATATTGATAAGGAATTTTTGATTAAAGAATTATTTTATTTAAATTTATCTATCTATCTATCTAAATGTCACCAGACTATCTATTTATTTCAATGTGATCAGAGAGGGACAGAGTGAGAGAGAGAGAGGGAAAATGAGAAAGCAAGCCACTAGGGCCAGGTGCAGTTGGCCATGTGGGAGTCCAGTAGACTTAACTAGTGTGCCACCTGCCAGCTCCAGGAATTAATATTTTCTTTATTTTTTTTAAAATTAATTTTGTCATGTACTCACCAGAGTTAGACAAAAAGAAAGGGGTAGAGGGAACCAGCAGTTAGCGTAATGGCTGTGTCGCTGGACTCCCACGTAGCCAACCGCAGGTCAAGTCCCGGACCCGGTGGCTTAAAACTCACGCCGGGCGCGTGTGCGTGCGTGCCCAAGATCCTGAGAGGAGAATGGAGGAGAAGGGATTGCGGTGTGACCATCCCCCTGGGGGGTGATTTCTCGCTTTCTGTCTCTATGTCTCTCTCTGGCTGGCTGGCGAGCACACATGCCCTATAGCAAAAAACCTCTCCCTCCCCCCCCCGAAAAAAAAAAGAAAAGAAAGGGGTAGAGAGGGAGAGAAAGTGAGAAAGCATCCCTCATGGGGAATAGTCATGCTGCAATCCCTTTTCCTCCCTGTTGGGATTTGGGGCACATACATGTACATGCCCAGCATATTTTTCAAAGGTGCCAGAGCCAGAATTTGAACTATACAGCCAGCCATATAAGATCCAGCTCCTTTAACCACTAGGTTACAGGGCCAGCCTAGAGAACCAGTTAAATCAGAGAATTTTGCCTGAGCAGAAAGACCAGAAACATCTATCCCTGTTGTCTGAGAGATTAGAAAAACTGCCATCTTCAAAAGTCAGGAATCACAGATTCCAAAGCCTTGAACAACTGAGCACACAAACCCTCAAAGGAGTTGAAATTCAGTATCAGGGCGGTATGTCCTTACCTACTGCAACCAAGTTCTTGAAATTCTCCACCATCACTTCTTGGTACATCTTCTTCTGGGTAAGGTCCAGCAACTCCAGCTCCTCCTTGGTAAAGGCCACAGCCACGTCCTTGAAGGTTACTGCATCCTAAAATGTAAAACACACGTGACCTTAATCTTTTTTTTTCTTTTGTTGGAGAGTTTTTTGCTATAGAGCGCATGCACTCGCCAGAAAGACAGAGAGATAGAAAGTGAGAAATCACCCCTCAGGAGTAAAACTCTTCAATTTAGAGTTTCTAAAACTTTAAGGACAAATAATATAGAATTCTACCAGAATAACCCACAAAGGCTATATGTATAAATACTTTTTAAAAAAGTATCGCATTTACTTTAGTTAAATTCTTAAATTCTCTAAAATCTGAAATAAGGAAAAATTTTGTTTTTTTAAAGGGCATTTCAATGGAATATGATACAACCACTTAAAATGCAGGTGTTACAATTAAGTTAAGAAAGCACATTCAAGGGAACCAGCAGTTAGCGTAATGGCTATGTCGCTGGATTCCCAGTCGACTGCGGTTTGCGTCCCGGACCCAGTGGCTTAAACTCACGCCGGGCGCATGTGCGTGTGTGCCCAAGATCCTGACAGGAGAATGGAGGAGAAGGGATTGCGGTGTGACCATCCCCTCTGGGGGGTGATTTCTTGCTTTCTGTCTCTATGTCTCTGTCTGTCTGGCTAGCGCCCACACCCTTTAGCGAAAACCTCTCCAAAAAAAAAAAGAAAGCACATTCAGAATTTCATTTATTCCACTACTGAAAATACACAGTTATAAATGCACATGAAGTAGCCAGCAGGTAGCATGGTGGTCAGGCACTAGACTTCTACATGGGTGACCATAGTTCGAGTCCCAGACCTGGTGGCTTGCTTTCTCACTTTCCTTCTCTTATTCTGTCTCTCTCTGATCAAACTGGAAAATAATCATCATAAATAAAGTTAAATAAAATAATTCAAAAAAAAAAAAAAAGCACATGAGGGGCCAGCAGTTGGCGTAATGGCTATGTCGACCGTGGTTGAAGTCCTGAACCCGGTGGCTTAAACTCACACCAGGCACGTGCATGTGTGTGTCCAAGATCCTGAGAGGAGAATAGAGGAGAAGGGATTGAGGCGTGGCCATCCCCCCTGGGGGGTGGTTTCTCGCTTTCTGTCTCTTTGTCTCTCTCTGTCTCTCTGGCAAGTGCACAAACCCTGAAAAAGTACATGATAAAAGGAACATAGGAAAGTGAACAGTTTGTAAGTAGCTAGCTAGTTGGGTGCACTTTCTACCTTTTCAAATTTCTATTATTTTTTCAAAGATTATTTTGTAAAACATTAAAGGTGATAACTAAAACAAAATGCATGTACACAAAATGCATTGGCTATCCATTTTCTATTGGGTTGTTGGGAAAGTATGACATATTTTTGCATAGAAAAATGGAAAAATACATCATGACTTTCCTGACAACTTATTATTAATCTTCCTAAAGAAGAGAAAAAGGATTTGTCCAACCTTTGAGAAATAAACACATCTTAAGAGACATGAAAGAACACCTTACTTACCTGGAACTTGGTCATTTTCTCCTGCTTCTTCTGGGAAAGGTCAGAATCTTGAGAAGGCATAACTGGGTAAGACCAAAGAAACCATGAAACACAGGTCAGAGCTGCCATTAGTTCCCATGGATCTTTGTGGAAACTATTCAGAGTAGCCCTACATTCAGACAAATGTACCTACATGCAGATTGGTAACCACTTCAGGCTAGATCCTAGCTACTAGTAGCTGGCTCATTGTCACTGGGCGGTGAAAAACTTGCACAACCAAATGTAGTAGCCCTACTACCAGGATTTTTTATCACATGGATAGTAGGAAATGACAGGTGATATAACAAAATGTGGGCTTTAAAAAAAAAAACCAAAAAACAGTGAGCTCTAGAATCAAGTTCCTTGGTTTTATTTCTAGAAATTATACCATCTGTGTAATATCAGGGATAGTAAAATAAAAGGGGGGGAAGAGCCAGCAGGTGGCTTGGTGGTTAAGGTACTGGACTCCCATATGGCCAGCCATGGTTCAAGTCATGGACCTGGTGGCTTAGTTTCTCACCTTCTCTCTCTGTCTTTCTGGTGGGTGCATGTACCCTACAGCAAGTACCCTATTTAATTAACTAATAAATAATAATAATATTAGTTAATTAAATAAATATTCTTTTATTTATCTATTTTTAAGAGAGATTTTTGCTATAGGACATGTGCATTCACTAGCGGGACAGAGAAAAACAGAGACACAGAACACAAGAACTCACACATACACACACACACATACACACACATACACACACACCCAGAGGAATGGCCACACCAAAATCCCTTCTCCTCCATTCTCCTTTCAGGACTTTTAGTATACACACACACACACACACACCCAGCATGAGTTTCATATGCTGGCCTCAAAATAAATATTCTTTTTAAAAAAACTCTGTGCCTCACTTCTATCTTCTGTACAATGAGATTAGGATAAGAATCATAAATTGTACCTACCTTAGGATTAAATGAGTAAATGGAAAGTTCTAAGAACCAGGAGTTCCTCTATCTTGTAACTACAAAAAAGCAGATAATACTTTACATCATACATTGTATTTGCAAATACTGTTCTCCTCTGAAAAGTTACCTTTAATTTCTTAGAGTCTAATTCTGAGTTACAATTTCCTCTTAGAAATTTGTTACCCAGTTAGCAATATTTTGTTGACGCTGGTGTCAGTTTTCTGAAAAGTATAAATTTCTGGACAATTTACTTCATAAAATTATAAAACTCATTGGTAAATCTCTTTTATCCTATGTGCATGGAGATAATAGAAAAGAAGATAAAGACACAAAACAAAAATCGAGAAACAGAGAAGATAAACTGGGAGGCTCCAATATTTGTCTACAGGAGTATGAGAAAAAGAAAATGAAGGAAAAGGCAGAGAGAACTTATTTCAAGAGATAACTGTTGAGAAAAGACATGAGTCAGGGGGACCAGCAGTTGGCGTAATGGCTATGTCGCTGGACTCCCACGTAGTCGACCGCAGTTTGAGTCCTGGACCCGGTGGCTTAAACTCATGCCGGGCGCGTGTGTGTGCGTGCCCAAGATCCCAAGAGGAGAATGGAGGAGAAGTGGTTGTGGCGTGGCCATCCCCCCTTGGGGGTGATTTCTTGCTTTCTGTCTCTCTGTCTCTCCCTGTCTGTCTGGCGAGCGCACACACCCTACAGCAAAAAAACATCTCCAAAAAAAAAAAAAAAAAAAAAAAAAGACATGAGTCGGGCACCAGCAGTTATGTCGCTGGAATCCCACGTAGTCGACCGCGGTTCAAGTCCCAGACCCGGTGGCTTAAAACTCATGCCAGGCGCGTGTGCGTGTGTGCCCAAGATCCCGAGAGGAGACTGGAGGAGAAGGGACTGCGGCGTGGCCATCCCCCCTTGGGGGTGATTTCTCACTTTCTGTCTCTCTGTCTCTCTCTGTCTGTCTGGTGAGTGCACGCACCCTATCGCAAAAAACTCTCCAAAAAAAAAAAAAAGAAAAACATGAGTCAGATACAAAATTTCTGAACAGAATAAATAAAAATAAATATACTCTTGGTCTAGCTGTGGTAGTATGTCCTGGTCTATGCTGCTACGTGGTAAGCTGAGGCAATGTGGGAGGTCTAGATTTGATTCTCAGTCCAACAATCTAAAAGCCTGCTAGTAGTGGTTTGTGGCTGTAGTCCCAGCTACTAGGGAGACTTGAGTCAGGAGGATCACAACATAGCAAGATCTTATGTGAAAATTAAAAAAAAAGAAAGAAACTCCTAAACACAACAAATCATAGTCAAACTCAATAATGCAAATGAACTGAAAGCAAGAGCAATCTTAAAACTCCCAGGAAGAAGATACAGTTTACCTTGAAGAAGAAACAAATAAATTGATTAAAATAGGAAAATAACGTAACAGATTGGAGACTTAAAACAACTAAATATCAGGGCCAGGTGATTAAGGCACTGGACTCCCACATGGCCAGCTGTGGTTCAAGTCCCAGGCCCAACAGCTTGAAAATCATGCCAGGTGTGTGTGCATGTGTGCCTAAAAATCCTGAGAGGAATAAAAAAAAAAGGACCATTATCCCCAAAATAAAGAAAATAACTGTCAATCTTGAATTCTATGAACAACTAAACAATTATTTTTTTAAGGAACTATTTAACTTTATTTATTTTTAAAAATTTGACCAGAGAGAGAGCACGTCCCCAGATCCAGGATTTGAACAGTGGTCAGCCATGTGGGAGTCCAGTGACCTTAACCACCATGCCACCTGCCAGCCCTTCAACTAAACAATTACTAACATGAGAAAAATAAAACTGAATGGAAAGAAAAAGTATAACTATGTAAACCCTAAAACCCTAAATGATCATAAAAAGCAATGATTTAAAAAAACTGTTAATACATTAGTAATATAATCATTTTCATTAAAGAAGATGAAGTATAATGGACAATTTTCTTTTAAAATTTTTTCCATAGGGCATATGTGTTTGGCAGAGAGAGAGAAGGAGAGAAGGAAAGCGAGAAATCACTCCCCAGCAGAGATGGCCACATCACAATCCCTTCTCCTCCATTCTCCTCTTGGAATTCAGGGCACACATGCACACACACTCAATATGTTTTTTCAGGCCACTGGATTTAGAACTCAAATGCATGGAGTTGGCCATGCCATGTGAGATCCAGTACCTTAACCTCCATGCCACCTGCTGGTGTAGTATAATGACAAATTTTGAGAGTAGTTTTATTTTCTTACAATATTTTTTTCAGAATGAGAATACATGCCGATTAAATTTAGTATTTACTGAGACATAAAATAAATCTTCCTTGTTTATTCTTTTATTTCTTCTGGGAAGAGGGAGAATGAATGAGGGTCCTGATTCTGGAATCTACCCCAAAGCCTTCAGTTAGCCCTGATCAGAGGCAAGAATATACCCAACATACTCAGAAAGGTCTCTGCACTTAACCTGGGAACTTTCCCATGTGGGACTGCCCCAGATAATCATTTTTAAAAGTTAAAAGGATGATACAAGACCATATAAATTCCAAATCAGCTGAGCACAAAGAAAAAGGAATAAACTGAATTGAAGACAAGATAGGAAAACAAAAGGAAGCAATGGAAAGCATGGTAAGTATGTGTGTGTATACATATGTACACATATACATACACATGTATATATACCTATGGTAGAAATATACATATATAGGTTGACAAGCAGATTATCCCAGAATGTATTAAAAAAAAAAATCCAACTACATTCTAAGGAATAGAGGGACCAGCAGTTAGCATAATGGCTATGTTGCTGGACTCCCACATAGGCGGTTCGAATCCCGGACCCGGTGGCTTAAACTCACACCAGCGCATGTGCATGCGTGCCTAAGATCCCAAGAAGAGAATGGAGTAGAAGGGATTGTGGCGTAACCATCCCCCCTGGGGGGTGATTTCTCACTTTCTGTCTCTCTGTCTCTCTCTGTCTTTCTGGCAAGCGCACACGCTCTATAGCAAAAACCTATCCAAACAAGAAAGAAAAAAAAGGAATAGAAGAAGAGATACTGGGTCAGCTGCTGGCAAGGTGATTTAAAGCAGCTAAATCTCACACAGTCAACTGCATGGTTCAAGGCCTGGACCTGGCAACTTGAAAAACACACCAGGAGAGTGTGCACAACATGCCCAAAATGCCAACAGGCACATAGAAGAGAAAGGATCACAATGTGGCCTTTCCTCTTGATGGGTGCTTTCTCATTTTCTCTTTCTTTGTCTAGCAAGCATATGACCCCTATAGCAAATTTTTTAAAAAAATTAAAAAGGAAGGAAAGGAAAGAGATAGTTTTGCAGCAAATGATGAAATTAAGTGTTACTTACATGAGAACTCACTACATTACTCTCTTTAGAGTTGCATATGCTTAGAAATTTTCATACGTAAAGGGAAAAAATCCTACACATGTCAAACCAGTTTTGAGAAATATTCTAATATATGTATACCATTACTAAAGAGAAATTCATGAAAGGGTTAGCAATTTTGGGGACCAGCAGATGGTGTAATGTTTATGTCCCTGGACTCCCATGTAGTTGACTGTGGTTTGAATCCTGGATCTGGCAGCTTAAAACTCACACCAGGTATGTGTATGTGCCCATAGCAAAAATCTCTCAAAAAACAAAAAAAGTTTAGCAATTTTATATTATATGTAAATTTTTTTAGAGAGATTTTTTTCCTATGGGTGTGTGCACTCACTCGAGACAGAAATATAGAGATAGAAAGTAAGAAATCACCACCTGGGGGATGGCCACGCTGCAATCCCTTCTCCTCCATTCTCTTTCTGGAATCTTGGGCATGCACGCACACACACCTGGTATGAGTTTTTTGTTTTTGGTTTGTTTTGTTTTACTTTACTTATTATTATTTATTTTAATTTGACCAGAGAAAGACAGAGAGAAAGAGATGGAGGAAAAGTGTGAAGGTAAGTTGCCAGGCCCAAGGCTCAAACCAAGCCACTGATTCCAGGACTCAAACTGTTCGAGTGAGAGTCATCTACGTGAGAGTCCAGCAATGTAACAACTATGCCATCTGCTGGCCCCAAAATATATAATTATAAATTTTTCTTTATTTACTTTTATATTTTCTGAATTATCTATAACATCCACATCTAACAGAAATATACAAATTCACATATGTCATTTTTAATTGCCTAGTAGAATTTTAAAGATTTTTTTGACAATAGGGCATATACACTTACCAGAGAGAGAGAGACAGAGAGAGTGAAAGTGAATACTCACTCCCCAGAGGGGATGGTCATGCTTCAATCCCTTCCTCATTCTCCTCTCGGGATACTGGGCACACATATATGCCTACTGTGATTTTTAAGCCACCAAGTATAGGACTTGAACTGCAGTTGGCCATGTGGGAATCCAGTACCTTAACCACCAAGTCACCTGCTGGCCCCAGTAGAGAAATTTTTTAAAAGAATGTTTGAATTGGGACCAGCAGATGGCGTAATGGCTATGTCTCTAGACTCCCATGTAGTCGACCGTGGTTCAAGTTGCAGACCCGATGGCTTAAACTCACATTAGACATGTGTGTGTATGTACCCAGGATCCCGAGAAGAGAATGGAGGAGAAGGGATTGCAGTGTGGCCATCCCCCTGGGGGGGTGATTTCTCGTTTTCTGTCTCTCAATCTCTCTCTGTCTTCCTGGTGAGCACATGTGCCCTATAGCAAAAACCTCTCCAAAAAATAATAATAATTACTGAAATGAATTTTATTTCTTCTTTTAATTTGCTAAAGGGCATGTACACTCATGAGAGACAGAGAGAAAGTAAGAAAACAAGCAGCCAGGTCAAGGACTCCAACTGTGGTCAGCCACGTGGGAGGCCTGTGCCTCAACGACCATACTACCTGCTGGCCCCAAAAGGGGGGAAAAAGGTGAAATTAATTTTAGCAATGTCTTTTTTAACCCAATTATCCAAAATATTATCATTTCAACATGTAATCAATATAAAAAATTATTAATGAGCCATTTTCCTTTTTGGGGGCAGTCTTTAAAATTCATTGTGTATTTCCCACTTAGAGCACATATGGACTAGCCACCTTTCAAACTGTTCATAAAACACAAGTGGCTTATAGCTACTGAAATAGATAGTGCACCTCTAAATGCACAATCATTACTTCTCTTTTAGAATATAATTTATTTTATTTGACATAGAATCAAATGAAATAAATGAGATACTTTAGGATTTTATTTTTAAATCCAAAACTTATCATTGTCGTTTACAAGGTCTTCCACAGTGATATCTCCACCTACCTTCCCAGAGCTGATTTCAAATGACTCCCATGTAGCCAAATGGATTACTATTTGTGATAACTGAAGGTAAGTATAGCATTAGGATTAAAAAAAAAATGACTGCTTGGTTCAATTCCATATCCATGTCTTAATATGAAATTGAATGACTCTGGAAAAATAACTTACACTCTCTCTGCCTCACCTTTTTCACCCTTAAAATAGGGATTAATAACAAGACCTACTTCAATATGCATTTCTTCGAAGTGGGTGTTGAAACCAGTGTGGAAAGATGTTATCAACAGCATTTATTTCTGAATCTCTCTCCTTCCCATTCTCACAGTTATTCAACAAATGATTTGATTATTTTCTTAGTAGTCATTACTGAGAGAAAGAACCCCGATTAACTGGGAAAAGGGAATTTCAGAACAGAAAGTAGGTTCCGTAGCAATACCTGGGGCTCTGCTATGAGAAGCCACAAAGTCCCTCCTTCTTCCTCTTTCCAGATTCTGGGGTGGTGAAGAAAAGGATGCGGTGAGATAGCGCGACTGTGTCTCTCTCCGGGATAAACTGCAGTGGACATCCCTAGGCACGGGCGAGGAGTGACTCAATTCTTCCTAAAAAAAAAGATGAGTGCAAGTTCGGTAGAGCTCGGTCTCCTGCAGGATGTGAAGAGGGTCACCGCACTCTCACCGAGCCCTGACCTTACCTCTCTCTTCACTGGAGCTCCCAGTAATAAGAGCGCTGGGGAGGGAAGACCGGTGTCAACAGCAAAAGCCAACCCGTTAGCAGGTGCCACCACCGTTCTTAGCTTTTGACATGTATCGTCTCGCTTAATCTAGTCACAAACCGTCCCAGCAACTACAGACGACGAGACTAGAGCGCCGAGAGCAACCGCTGGGTGTGGGTTCTACCCGCAGAAGCAGCGGCGCGGCGCGGTGAGGGGAGGCGGGCTGAGGGGGGTCCACGCTTCCGCCCTCCGCCTCCGAGCCTCGGCCCCCGGCGCCGCTTCTCCTTCCTAAGGCTGACGGCTACGTAGGCACGGGCCCCAAGCTCAGGCCGAAAAGGCTTCCGAGGAGTCGCGGCTCGGACTCACCTCCAGGACTAGAAAGATGGTGGCGGCCTCGCTTTCCCGAGGCGGAAGTGGCCCCGTCTAACCCGGAGGCCGGAACTACACTTCCCAGAAGCCCCAAAGGGAACCAGCGCCACAGTCTCGCGCTCCTACGCAACTGTTTCCGGACGGAACTCCTGTACCCTCTGGTGTTTCCGGGCGGAACTCCTGTACCCTCTCGTGTTTCCGGACGGAACTCCTGTACCCTCTGGAGGGGGAAAAAAAGAAAGGAAAACGTAAAAGCAGACTGCATAGTCTCGCAGCTTCTGGACTACGACTTCCTGAAGTCCCTTTATGCCTACATAACATTTTTTTTTTTGAGAGGTTTTTGCTATAGGGCGCGTGCACTCGCCAGACAGAGACAGAGAGAGGCAGAGAGACAGAAAGCGAGAAATCACCCCCCAGGGGGGATGGTCACGCCGCAATCCCTTCTCCTTTCTCCTCTGGGGACCTTGGGCACGCACGCACACGTGCCCAGCGTGGGTTTTAAGCCATCGGGTCCGGGACGCGAACCGCGGTCAACTACATGGGAGTCCAGCGACATAGCCATTACGCCAACTGCTGGTTCCCTGAAAAAACTTTTGAGTGCATGCACATGTGAGAAATGAGCATCCTCCACAGGGTCTTCTCATACCAGGTCCTATTCCTCCAACATTTCAGTATAGGCACTCAGTATGTATATATTCCCAATACTTTAGGATCAGGCCAGTATTTGAACCTGAGTTCCCATATGGGATCCACTTCCTTTAATTACCACTACCCTCTGGGATCTTGGGCACACACGCACACGCGCCCGGCATGAGTTTAAGCCACAGGGTCGGGGACTCAAATTGCAGTCTACTACATGGGAGTCCAGCGATATAGCCATTACGCTAACTGCTGGTCCCCCCCTACATGACATTTTGCTGACCTAACACCGTTTTCTGACGCCAATAGACTTTGGCTTTCTCTTACTAACAAGTAACAGAAACGTGGAGTTGGTCCCTTAAAATAACGATTGTGAGAAACAGAGCGTGTGATCCTTTATTAATACAATTATACCGTACCCAAAACATTTTTTAAAGCTTTTAACGTGTAGTTTTTACATTTAAGAGCACCAACGAATAGGTTAGATGCTTTATAGATACGAAAAGAGTGAACGAACAAAAGAGGCAACGGAAGGTACAGCGGGGGTGGCAGAGGGGGTAGAGCGATGCTGTGCCATACTGGAGTCATGTGGGAGGTCCAAGTTCGGATTCCAGGTCAACCTGATCACGTACATGATCCTGTGATCCGAGCTAGAGGGTAGACTTGGGGGAGGCTGCCCAGTGTCAAGACCTTGTCAATAAATAATCTTTCCTTCTCTTTCAAGAAATAAACTATTTTTGGGACGGTAGGTGGCATGGTGGTGAAGGGTGCTGGTTCAAGTCCTGGACCTGGTGGTTTGCTTTCTCTTTCTCTCTTCCTCTCTGGTTAAATTAAAATAAATATATAAAGTTAAATAAAATAATTATATTTAAAATTTTAAAAAAATCTTTTAACAAAAAATGCAATGGAGGCAGATATACCATAGATTTCCACTTCTGTTAAAAGCACAGATAATTTATAACTTGCTTGCTGAGGACAAGGATCAGTTGTTATATTTGGAATTGCTAACCCATCATTCAGCATAAACTTCTGAAATAACTTCTCAAACCAATAGGGCACATTCAAGAAGTTTCTGAATTTGAAAGGTGAGCAAACTTGTTAGATGTCTAAACCATGATCATTATGAAGACTAATATTATTTACTCAAATGTAATGGTACAATTGATATTTCAGAGAAATGTGAGTTGGAAGAAGAGAGGGATACCTTAAAATAGCCACATATTCCACTAAAATACACACTTGCAGTTCTCGTTTATAAGTATTATTCTTTGTTCTGTTATAAACAGCTCTCTATGGAGCACCTAGGATATGCCAAGAACTACTCTCAAATCTGGGACCCTTGCTACATACTCAGAACAGTTTTTTTTAACTTTACTTTTGAACTTTAAAAAATATTTTTGCCACAGGATGTGTACACTCACCAGAGAGATGGAGGGGACAGAGAAATAGCGGGTGACAGGGGGAGTGAGAAATCAACCCCCAGAAAGGATGGCCATGCTGCAATCCCTTTTCATCCATTCTCCTCTCAGGATTTGGGGTACGTGTGCACACACACCTGGCATAATTTTCAAGCTGCTGGTTCCAGGGTCTCAAGCCATAGAGTTGGCCATGTGGGATTCAGCACTGTAACCACCACATCACCTGTTGGCCCCAGAAAACTTTTTAAGGTAAACACTGGTGTGTTCTTATTTTACAGTTTAGGAACCAGAGACAAAGAGAAGTTGTCATTGGTCCCACATTAATAAGTTATTATGTTCTATTAGGTTGTTGGGAAAGCCATGACATGTTTTTTCTGTTTTTCTATACAAAAATGCATCACGACTTTCCTGACAACCCAATAGTTTCGGGTTTCAAAATTTGGCACTTGAGGGACCAGCAGTTAGAGTAATGGCTATGTTGCTGAACTCCCACGTAGCTGACCACGGATCAAGTCCCGGACCCAGTGACTTAAACTCATTCTGGGAGCATGTGCACATGTGCCCAAGATCCTGAGAGGAGGGACCAGCAGTTAGCATAACGACTATGTTGCTGGACTCCCACATATGCGTGCCCAAGATCCTGAGAGGAGAAGGGATTGTGGCGTGGCCATCCCCCCGGGGGGTGATTTCTCACTTTCTGTCTCTCTGTCTCTCTCTGACTGTCTGGCAAGCGAACGCGCCCTATAGAAAAAAAACCTCTCCAAAAAAAAAAAAAAAAAGGTCCCTTAAAATAACGATTGTGAGAAACAGAGCGTGTGATCCTTTATTAATACAATTATACCGTACCCAAAACATTTTTTAAAGCTTTTAACGTGTAGTTTTTACATTTAAGAGCACCAACGAATAGGTTAGATGCTTTATAGATACGAAAAGAGTGAACGAACAAAAGAGGCAACGGAAGGTACAGCGGGGGTGGCAGAGGGGGTAGAGCGATGCTGTGCCATACTGGAGTCATGTGGGAGGTCCAAGTTCGGATTCCAGGTCAACCTGATCACGTACATGATCCTGTGATCCGAGCTAGAGGGTAGACTTGGGGGAGGCTGCCCAGTGTCAAGACCTTGTCAATAAATAATCTTTCCTTCTCTTTCAAGAAATAAACTATTTTTGGGACGGTAGGTGGCATGGTGGTGAAGGGTGCTGGTTCAAGTCCTGGACCTGGTGGTTTGCTTTCTCTTTCTCTCTTCCTCTCTGGTTAAATTAAAATAAATATATAAAGTTAAATAAAATAATTATATTTAAAATTTTAAAAAAATCTTTTAACAAAAAATGCAATGGAGGCAGATATACCATAGATTTCCACTTCTGTTAAAAGCACAGATAATTTATAACTTGCTTGCTGAGGACAAGGATCAGTTGTTATATTTGGAATTGCTAACCCATCATTCAGCATAAACTTCTGAAATAACTTCTCAAACCAATAGGGCACATTCAAGAAGTTTCTGAATTTGAAAGGTGAGCAAACTTGTTAGATGTCTAAACCATGATCATTATGAAGACTAATATTATTTACTCAAATGTAATGGTACAATTGATATTTCAGAGAAATGTGAGTTGGAAGAAGAGAGGGATACCTTAAAATAGCCACATATTCCACTAAAATACACACTTGCAGTTCTCGTTTATAAGTATTATTCTTTGTTCTGTTATAAACAGCTCTCTATGGAGCACCTAGGATATGCCAAGAACTACTCTCAAATCTGGGACCCTTGCTACATACTCAGAACAGTTTTTTTTAACTTTACTTTTGAACTTTAAAAAATATTTTTGCCACAGGATGTGTACACTCACCAGAGAGATGGAGGGGACAGAGAAATAGCGGGTGACAGGGGGAGTGAGAAATCAACCCCCAGAAAGGATGGCCATGCTGCAATCCCTTTTCATCCATTCTCCTCTCAGGATTTGGGGTACGTGTGCACACACACCTGGCATAATTTTCAAGCTGCTGGTTCCAGGGTCTCAAGCCATAGAGTTGGCCATGTGGGATTCAGCACTGTAACCACCACATCACCTGTTGGCCCCAGAAAACTTTTTAAGGTAAACACTGGTGTGTTCTTATTTTACAGTTTAGGAACCAGAGACAAAGAGAAGTTGTCATTGGTCCCACATTAATAAGTTATTATGTTCTATTAGGTTGTTGGGAAAGCCATGACATGTTTTTTCTGTTTTTCTATACAAAAATGCATCACGACTTTCCTGACAACCCAATAGTTTCGGGTTTCAAAATTTGGCACTTGAGGGACCAGCAGTTAGAGTAATGGCTATGTTGCTGAACTCCCACGTAGCTGACCACGGATCAAGTCCCGGACCCAGTGACTTAAACTCATTCTGGGAGCATGTGCACATGTGCCCAAGATCCTGAGAGGAGGGACCAGCAGTTAGCATAACGACTATGTTGCTGGACTCCCACATATGCGTGCCCAAGATCCTGAGAGGAGAAGGGATTGTGGCGTGGCCATCCCCCCGGGGGGTGATTTCTCACTTTCTGTCTCTCTGTCTCTCTCTGACTGTCTGGCAAGCGAACGCGCCCTATAGAAAAAAAACCTCTCCAAAAAAAAAAAAAAAAAGATCCTGAGAGGAGAATGGAGGAGAAGGGATTGTGGTGTGGCCATCCCCCCTGGGGGGGGGGTGATTTCTCACTTTCCATCTCTCTCTCTCTCTCTGTCTTTCTGGTGAGTGCACACACTCTATAGCGAAAACCTCTCCAAAAAAAAAAAAAAAAATGGCACTTGACAGCCAGAGCCTGAGTACAAATCAGGACATTAACCACATCATGTATAATCCACATGAATAGAATATTTAACTTTAATGAACCATTTCTCCTTCCTGCTACCAAAGAGATATACTAAGTGGAAATCCATTGTCACTTACATGCCT